TCCACCGGAAATGCAAATTAAATTTTTATAAGCATTTGAATTTCAAATATTGACAAAAATTCGTCAAAACCATGAATATTTGCGAATTTTTTTGTAGTTCAAAATTCATAATATTGTTTKTATTTTTATCTAAGGTTATAAAATTCAACAATAAGTTTTCCATAAGTTTTGCTTCAAATAGCTATAGAGAAAATTTGAAGTGTCAATATAGGAAAAATGTTTTAAGCGTTTGAGTTTTAATACGTAAAATTAACTGCAATTTTCAAATTACCTTAGATAGAAATTCATAAAAGTTTTTCTTTTTAGATCAAAGATTTGAAAATTAAATRCAAGGCTCCTAACACATTGTAACAATAGCAGTTGAAAAATTAAAGAAATATATATGCATAATTTTTGTTTTAAAGCATTCAAAGTTTGAATTTTGACAAAATACGTAAAAATCACGAAAATTCGCAAATTATTTTAAACTAGAAATTCATAAAAGAATTTTCTTTTTAATTCTAAGATTTGAGAAATTAATAGAATGCTCATAATATATTTTTACAATAGCAGTTGAAAAATAAAAGATATGCAGTCTCATTTTTTTTTTTTACAAGCATTTAAAGTTCAAATTTTGACTAAATACGCAAAACTTACGGCATTGTTCAAATTATCTTAGATAGAAATTCACAACAGTTTTTCTTTTTAATTCTAAGATTTGAAAAATTATTACAAGGCTACTAATCTTATTTTTCAATAGCAGTTGCAAAATAATAGAAATACAAAGTCACAATTTTTTTTTACAAGCATTTAAATTTTAATTTTGACAACATACGTAAAAATCATGAAAATTCGCAAATTATTTTAAGCTAGAAATTCATAAAAAATTTTCTTTTTAAATCTAAGATTTGAAAATTTTTAATCAATAATATACCCTAGACAGATAAACCATCTCCGTTCATAATCGTTTTTCKTATACAATGATACCTATCATTGCATTCAAATTTAACCTACCCTAGTCAGAGGTCCACCCCACCCCCTAATGTATAGCAGAGCGATACCCACTTACCCGCTTTTTTTTATTCTATATAATATGTCAATAAAATGTTATTTATTAAGTTATAAAACTTGATAATTTAATACAAGGTACCCCATAAGTTTGTGTTATAATAGCAGTTGGAAAATATTAAAAGACATAGGCACGTTTATTTTTGTTTTACAACCATTTAAAGTTTAAGTTTTAACAAAATGTATTT